TATAGAATGCCAGGGACAAGATGTGCCGTTTTTGGCTGTAATAACAGCCTTGTCATCACTAGGAAAGGAAGTGAAAAAATTATATATCATACCTTTCCGAAAGACAATGATATGGTTTCGTCAACGTTGCGTTTAGAATGGGTTAGAAGATGCAAGAGAGCCGACAWATTGAATCCAGCCACCAGTTTTATTTGTTCTGTTCACTTTACAGAAAATGATTACGAACGGGACTTGCAACATGAATTATTAGGTGCGAACTTTTTTATTACGAACAGTTGAACACTTAGGAAACAGTTTTTTATCCATGTCGTTGGTTTATATGTGTATAAGTTTTTTACTACTTTCCTGTCGAGAAAATTCATGTGCTTTAATGAATAAGAACTTGTTTTTGAATTTTTTTTAGAACACAAATATACATTATAATGGCTTTGATAATATAATTGATAGTGTTGTAAACGTGAAATATTTCATTCAAAATATTTCATAAAATTTTATAGCATTGGTCCTTAATTTTTAAAATACTTATTTTATTGTTATCCAGGCTTACCTCTTCGTAAAAAAACTGAAGAAAACAGCCGTTCCTTCACTCCATCTGCCCGGATCTAAATTATCAAGCGATGAAACAAAGGCTAGGATCACTAGGACCGAGCGAATAATAAAGAGGCAACAAAAAAAAGAAATTCGAAAACTTATTGAAGAAAAAGAAGATACCAATGAACCGATTAGTACGTCCCCTATTTGTGTTCCCAACACTTCTACTGAAGAAGAAAATTTTGAAATCAAATATTTAAAACTTTTAAAAGATTACAATGAGTTGAAAGAAAAACATGAAAAAAACAATTTGGCAAGCAGGAAAAAAATTAAATTAATGAACGATAAGCTTAAATATTACAAAAGTAAATATCGAAATAAACAAGACACTAAAAGTAGTGGAAAAAGTTCTCAAATATCAATAGATCTATTGAAAACAGTTTTTACGAAAAATCAAATTGCGATTATTTGCAATAAAAGAAAGTGGGTAAAATGGAACCAAGAGGAAATGGCAATTGCGTTCACTTTAAGGTACTATAGCAAAAAGTGCTATCTTTATTTAAAAAACAAATTACATTATCCATTACCTGGACTCTCCACATTAAGACGTTGGGCACTAAATATAAACATCAGCCAAGGAGTTTGTAAGAGCATTCTGATGTTTCTTGAGTTAGCCGGTGAGAACATGACTGAATTCGAAAAAAACTGTGGTGCTTCAGTTTGACGAAGTAAAAGTAAAATATGTGCGAGAATACGATACAAGAAAAGACATGGTCATTGGGCCTTACAATTATATGCAAGTTGTAATGGCTCGAGGCTTATTTGCTAACTGGAAGCAACCAGTTTATCTTGGTTTTGATCAAAAAATGACAAAAGACATTTTAATGGAAGTAATCAGTGAACTTCACAAAATTAGTTTCAGTGTGGTTGCGTGTGTCAGTGACTGTGGTGGTAGCAATGTAGGATTATGGAGTGAACTAAATGTTAATCATGAAAATACATTTTTTCAACACCCTGTGGACTAATAACAACGTTTATATGTTTGCCGATGCCCCTCATCTATTAAAACTTTTGAGAAATTGGTTACTAGATAAAGGTTTCCAATTAAACGATAATACTATAATTGACAAAACCCCTTTAGAAAGTTTATTGGAACTAAATAAGCAAGAAGTCAATCCTTGTTACAAACTGACTGACAAGCATATATTGTGCCAAAATACACAAAGGCAGAACGTTCGTTTGGCTGCCCAATTGATATCGAATACAGTTGGATGTGCATTAATAAGGCAAAAACCTGGACTAGACAAGGAAAAAGCCGAAAATTTGGGTAAATTCATATGCGTTATGAATACATGGTTCGACATATTCAACAGTTATAGTGAGAAAGGTACCGTTCCAACAAAAAATGCATACGGCGTTGACCTAGAGACTCAAAATTCCTATTTAAATCAAGTCTCAAAAATTATTTGTGAAATGCTACCGATTGGAAAGAATTCATTGCAGACTTTTCAAAAAGGTATCATAATGAGTATCAAATCTCTACAATTGCTATTTCATGACATGAAAAATCTTTTCAATATACGGTATTTATGCACCCACAAACTAAACCAAGATTCATTGGAAAATTTTTTCTTCCAAATAAGAAGCAGAGGTCCTAACGAACATCCATCTCCGTTAGAAGCAATGTACAGGATTAGACTCATTATTTTGGGTAAAAATCCAGGTATTCTGGAAACGTCAAACAACACAACAGACCAATCTCCAAATTTAGAAGAGTACGTAGTAGCTTCGGTTTTAAATTGTGGATTAGATCTTACAGCAGATACATCAGAATTAATTCAATCAAGCAGTACGTCTTTTGAATCAAGCGCCTCCGACACGCTGTCACAAGATGATCTTACCAAAAATGAGATAACCCATGATGCTCTAGAATATATAGCAGGATATTTGTTGAAGAAACACAAAAATCTTCTATCTACATTTAATTTTGGGGATTTTACGTACAAAGAAGGGGAAGAACATAGTTATAACTTGCCTTCTTGGGTTCAACAATTATCATATGGAGGACTTATAAAACCTACTACAGAATGGTTAAACATTATCAAAAAATGGAACATATATTTTGAACATGTTCATGGAAAGGATACAATTAAGTCAACGCCGGATACCGTAAAAAAATTAACAGCAAAAATTAAAAAACGTTCCAATATTCCTGTGGAAGTCTTCGGCATCGCACTAAGTCCCGGCCTCGTTAGTGACGTTCTTGATGGTCGATGTCGTCCGAACTTGAAAGTTCGACCGGATTTAGGTGTTTCGGGCAAAAGCTCACCAAAAGCTCGATAAAGCTCAAAAGCTGCGGGAGCTTTTTGTTCCTGGCGAAAAGTGAGCTTTGAAAGCTCGAAAGCTCAAAGCTCGATCTTGGGTGAGCTTTGGGGGTGGAGCTTTCGGGTTCCGGTACTTCTCACCTGGACGGTGTCGGTTTTGAGCGAGCTTTTGGGCTGACGTCACGGGGAAGCTTTCTGGGCGGTCTGCTGACGTCACGGGCTCGATGCGATGATCCGGTGACGGCTCCGATGGCGGGGGCGGTCCGGTACGGTACAGTTACGGTTACGGCCCCGTTGCGATTACGGTTCGGCGGCGGTACGGTGACGGTTACGGTTCGGCGGCGGTAACTCCTCTTCCTGACAAAACGGTCCCTGCTCGGGCACCAAATTTTTTTTACACACATTGACGGGCAAAAAAGTGATTGTTTGTGTTGTGTGATTTTTGGCTGCTATTGGCAGTTATTAAGAGAATAGAGCTGTGTTGAAATGGAGTAGTGGACACTCTTAACATCCCACTGGATCCAGAACCCTTTTACGAAGGTCTCTTCAGAGAGCATCAACCTCAAAGCCTAACAGATTTCATTCAAATCTGTGAGGGAAACTTATTGAGACATATTGGTTTCGTGCCTCCGGATCTTTTACACTCAATTCAGAAGATCTGGTTTAAGATGGCTTCTGCAAACAGAAATGATGTCTGATCTGGCATCATTGCATACCTGTCATCTGATGACACAATCAAAGCATGGTTGGAGAGTGATAATGGAAGCGAAATTGAAATCTTGGAAGAGTTCAATAGCCAAGTTTTCTTGACATGGGCACAAGCCTTGGCTTACAGAGGCTTTGATATAAAGCTGATTATTAGGCAAATGATTGCCAATAGAAATGCATTTAATGCCACAGGAACTATTTTTACGATTCAGTTCTCCTCAGCAAGTGGCCCAACTTCAATCTCTTATTCAGATGAGGAAACACTTGCATCAGATGTCAAGCTATTGATTGCCATATTCTGTATCAGAGGCAATAATATTGAGAGAATCAAGGCAAAATCTTATGATTCTGTTGAAGGCCTTCTCAGTATGTTGATTGAGAAGTATGACATAGATACAAGTGAAAGAGACTCCATGACTGCAATTGAACCAACAGTGATAACACTGCCAAGAATCTGTGCATGTTTCCCAATCATCACTTGTGATATGTATCACAATCAGGTTGGGAAGAAACTCTTCACCTTGGAGCAAATGGGAATCACTTCTGCAGTTTCCAGTGCAGTTCTAACACCATTCTTTTGCTCCTGTGTTCCAAAATCTTTGGTTAAGGCTGGGGAAAGCAACCCAAATCTCTTATTCTTCATTGCACACATCTTAACTGATGATGTAGTCCACTCAAAATATGCCAATTACACACCTCTAGCCAACATATTTGATTAGTATGCAGCTGCATATAGAACAGAGGTGACACCAAATTCAAGCAGATTGGCATACTGTAAGAAGATTGGGATACTGGTGGCTAGCAATACTGGCTTCATAGATGCCATTGCTAGTGCCATAACTAGAGCTGAGAACCTCATCAGGGGCTTAACACCCAATGACCCAACACTGCATGTCACTATTGACAATCTCAAGCTACTAGTTAATTGAGGTTAATTATTTATTTACATGTTGCATGCTTAGGATAGGTTTTGTTAGATTAAATTAGGATAGGGTAGTTTTAGGAGGGGTAGATAGATTAGGGGGTGGGGGGGACCTCGGAAATTGCGGTGCCCTCTGCGTCCTTTCGCCCGTCTCAAGGTAGTTATATCTACAAAACTACAGAAGATTACCCCCACCTAGATTCTCTATTGACTTTTTTATATTATTAGGTGTCTGCAGCAACCATTTTTAGAATCTTTAGAATCGTGAAATGCTCTAACGCCAGTTAAAACCTGTAATCTTCGGTGAGCGGAGGACATAAAAAAATATCGTTCTTCCAAGATCATTTTTTTCGAGAAGAATTGGGGCTATATATATATCGCCCCAATTCTTCTCGAAAAGCCTTACATTGCTGCTCAACGAATCAGATTTTTAAAAAGATACTCGTACATGCAATACAAAACTGATTATCCAAATGTTAATTTTGTTTGGTTAGACGAGACATGGATTTTCCAAAATGGTTCCCAAATTCGAACGTGGGCAATTGATGCTCTGTTTAAAAAAGATTATAAAGTTAAAAAGACGGAAGGTGAACGATTCACGGTTCTACATGCTGGATGCTTCAGCGGTTTCTTGATGGGTGCTCCATATTACTCAAAACAAAAATAAACGACCGCGACTATCACAAGACCATGAACGGTAATCTTTTTAAAAATTGGGTTGCAGAGCAATTGATTCCAGCTCTGCCATTTGATGGTCAAAAAACGGTAGTGGTAATGGATAATGCTACGTACCATTCGGATAAACTTGACAAACCACCTACAAAGTCATCACAGAAAACCATGCTTCAAAATTATTTGTATGTGAACAACATACTTTTTAATACAAACGCGACGAAGACTTCCTCCATACCACTGCCAGTACAACCCTATCGAACTGGTTTGGGCATATTGTAAAACTTTTTACAATAAATATATCAACGCCTCAAGTTATGGGGTACCCTTTAAGGGTTAAAGAGCATATAAATTTATTGCGTTGTTATACATGTTTAAAAATTGGTCATACTTCAAAAAATTGTAGATCTAAGCCTTTAACTTGTTCCAAATGTTCAGAAAATCACCCAAGTACTGATTGTCAATCTCAAAATTTATGTTGTGCTAATTGTAAACAGTATAATACTAATTTTCTTAAAAACAGTCCTGTTGATCACTCTGAAGATCTTGAAGATGTTTTATCATTTTTCTTACATAAATTCGAGCATATTTTAATTTTAGGTGATCTAAATGTTGATCACAATTTTCAAAATAAAATCTCAGATTCTTTTCATTCAAATTGTATTATTTGTTTAAGCTGGAACAAAGCATATCCCCCTAGTTGCTTAAGACTTTTTAAAAATTTCTCGTCGATTGTTGCCGACTCATTCTTCTTCTAGTACTATATTTGAGGATGTTAGTACTTTAAAACAAGAGAATGACTTAATTAAAAATGTACAGCGAAGTTTTCTGATATTCTTAGCGTTTTTAATTGATGTGGACTATCCTACGAGAGGCTGATCAGTTGCAACTTTTAAAAAGATTCAATCTTCCATTTTTACTAACTAGACAGGTCTATATAATTATAAATTTTTTAACAGTTTGGTACATGGCCGTACTGATTGTGCCTGGTTAGTGGTTGTTGGATAGGTTGTGCTTTTCGGTTCCTCGATTAAATTCTCGTCGGGTTGTGACATTCTATTCAACATCAAGTAGAACCATCGTTGCTGAGAGATCTCCGATAAATTTAATAAATTTAAGGTTTATTTAATAAAATATGTAAAGATGTGATTTGAACTGTGATTCCTGGAGAAAAAAAAAACTGTTTTTCATGCTACTTTTAATTAATATCCTTGTTTAGTGTCTAGTTTAGTATAGTGTAGTTATGGGCCTATGCTTCAACAAAAGGCAATTTTTTTTGCTAAAGAGCTACACATTTTGATTGTTGGGGAATTGGATTAACCGTTTCACGAGTAGACACAATATTGTCGCCGGATAAATTGCTGGAGAGTCTTTGTCGGTTGAACAAAGCGATGTGACCGAGTGGCAAACCAAAATTTGGCCCAATTTGCGCGCAAATTTTAGTGACGACGAAATATTTAATACAGACGAAACTGGATTATTCTATAAACTAACGCCAGATAAAATATTAAAATTTAGAGGTGAAAAACTTTCGAAAGACAGAATAACTGTGATGGTTGCAGCTAACATGATAAAAAATGTTGATAATCATCGGTAAGTCAAAGAACCCAAGATGTTTTAAAAATGTGCCGGTAGATTATGAGAGCAATCGCAGGGGCTGGATGACATCTGCTATTTTTATCAAATGGGTACGCGATTGATTGAGATCGTGAATTGACTAAAAAGAAGAAAAGGATCCTGCTTCTGGTTGACAATTGTCCAGCTCATCCCTCAATCAGCGACTTGAAAAGCATAATTCTCATTTTACTGCCTCCTAATAAAACATCCATATTGCAACCTATGGACCAAGAAATAATTCGAGTGTTAAAATCAAATTTTCGTAAAAACCTGGTTTTAAAAACTGTCGCCAGTCTTGACGCAAATGAAGATACCAGCAGTACCAAACATCCGAAGATCACAATACTGGATGTCATTTTAATAATTTACGACGCCTGGAACAAGTTTACATCAGCTACGATTTTCAGCTGTTATAAACACGCTGGATTTGTCCCAGACAGTCCCAGTGTTGCTGCCTACATCCATCATGATGATGGTGATGTGCCCCTGTCTGTCTGAGCGAGAACTCTGAATAAAGAACTGCCCATAGGAAATTAAAACTTGAACAATATTCTGCTGTTGTTGATGATTTCGCAACGTGTGAGGAGTCGACTAACGAAAATATTCTATAAAATGTTATTGTCAACAGCCAAGATAGCGACGATAATAATGACGACGGCCCGGAAGAAAATTGTACCACTTCAAACCTATCTGAAGCTCTAAAAGCTGCAGAAGTGCTGAATGTATTTGAGCATTCTAATTTTGATGACGACACTATGAAAAATATTATATCTCGTTTCCATAATGCAATCATAATACAGTTTGCATAATACACTAACCGAAAAAAAGGGTTACACAAGTGGCGCTCAACGTCGTAGGTAAGTGGTTTGCGAAAATATTGTGGAATTGTATTAATAATGGACCAGGTGATGAAGCCAATTCATCTGTTGGTGAATGAACTCAATTATGAATTACTCATACGTGGTATAACGACGGATCGCAAGGACTCGCTCAAAAAAATCTTAGATCGGCTTATGGTGCAAGACGCATCTCGTCTTTTTGAGTTTAAGGATACCCAGTACAATTTCGCGACAGAGCACGTTGCGGTGAACAACTTTAGAGTCAACTACCAGTTTAATAGTCGAATTCGATGTTCCTCCGACGGACTCCGGCTTTAAACGTATTTCTTCCCGATTGTTGCATATCAAAAATAGGATAAATCGTATTCCTATACCAGAAGAAAATTCCAAACCAGCAGAGTTAATCAAAAATGAATCACTGGCTACTTGTTCTGAACTCGAAGCCGATCTTTACGAAGAAGCTCAAACTATACCCTTCACACCTCCCGGCGTTAGAGAGCCTTCGTCGCGAGTTCGCCTTCCAGACTTTAATTTTCAGAATAAGAATCCTACGTCGCCTAATAACAGTACCTGTATATAAATGGAGATTAAAATTCGATAGGCCTTCCGGTAGTATCAACGCTTTCTTAGAACAAGCAAATGAACAAGCTAGTACGAAATGTCAGCCAACATTAACTGTTTACTTCGGCAATTGACCTTTTTTCCGGACATGCATTAATCTGGTTTCGCGCGATCAAACATTCTGTTTATTCTTGGCAAAAACTAGCATCGGCACTTAAATGCATAACCTTTAAACCGGAACCGGAAATTGAGTAGATGTATCCGGTTTTCGTGATTACCAGTTTAAAAGGTATGTTGTCACAGCGAAATGTTCCAAATTTTATAATATTTGGTCAAATAGTTATTACAAAGTTATTACAAAAAAATCAAATTTCCATACCCCCATTCCGAGAGCTGTAAAATTCTTATCAGTAGAGATAGGACGCGAGTTATTATTTAAATTAACATCATTTTATAGGTCATTTTTGAGGTTCAAATATTGCTTCATATATATGAATAACCCTGTATATGTAATTAGATTAACAACAAATTAATACTCTATTCATTCTATTTCCTGCATTTAAACCTTTTTTTTTTCAAAACTTTTTTAAAAAAAACAAAGATTTCATCATACAGCCATTATCAAATTCAAACATTTCGTCATTTTTATACTAATCAAAAACTAAGAAAGCTAAAAAAATATGTTGTTTCAATTTCTCTTTACAGTTGATTTGTTATGAGTCAAAATATGAAAAATGCGCTAAGATGGTTCCTTCTCCCCTATAGCTAATAAAGTAAAAAAATTGCATAAGAAAAGAACTGAAAATCAATTTCTCTTGTTACTAGAAGAAGAAAAATCATTAATTGATGGAATAGCTCCGTGTGCCTCATGGGGATTTCCTTTAAGAAATTTGGATCTGCGCATATTAGTAAAAGGTTATTTGGACCACTCGGATTCGAAAGTGGAAAGACAACCGACCAGGTCGGGATTGGGTGGAAACGTTTTACAAAAGGCATCTGAGTGATCTCTCCATTATGCCAAAACATTAAAAGGTCCAGAGGTGAAGTGCCTAAAGTTGTAGTACCGTGCGATCAAAAAAAAATAAATTAGAGTAGGCGGTGATCAAAGTCCTTCAGATGGCAATCCTGATTTTTGATATCAAATGTCAGCGAAAACTTTGACGAGTTTGCGTTTTATAACTTTTGAGTGAAATTATGTTCACTTTAGAGCAGAAAATTTGTATTGCTGTAAAGACGAAAACGGTGAATGGTCATTTTCACTTTGAGTTTGTGTGGAAAATTTCCAGCCCAGATTCCCAGCCAATGTGTTGCCAATTGTAGAATTTAATAGACGCCTACTCGAATTTATTTTGTTTTTTTTTTGATCGCACGGTACAAGAGTATTTTCAAGAATTAGAAAGCGGTTGCAAATGTGCCTCCAGAAAAAAATTACTGCATAGGAAAATTTAGCGGACAATGAAACTTTTGCCCAGACACTTGTTTATTCAATTCCCCGTAGATTAATCGCAAAAAACGGCGCGTTGACCAAATATTAGAATAGTATGCATTTATTTAAATTGTTGAGAGTTGCCTTTTATTTTTGTAAAAACTTATCATTATCAATAAATGTTTGCGAGTTGTGTTTGCCGTTATTGGTAATGGTTGTCTAATAAATAAGGCAAAAAAGTTACACACATTAAAATCTTTGAAAAATGCATAAAAAAAATTCAGCTGTCAACAAGGTTTTCCTAAGTTACTAAGTAACAACAATTAAAAGATAAGTTTACAATATGACAGTCTAGCTAAAATTGTGCGTACTACGCTTTTTTTTTTGGTTCCCTGGTATCTTATCTTAGTTGAAATTTT